CTGACCACCTTATGCTGTTCGAAAGTTTAACGTAAAAAGTATTTATATTAATCTTCCCCAGAACCATGTATATGGAGACTCAATTTATTATAATTAAATTTTAATTCACAAAAACTAGTAAAAATATATGAATGACAAATTTGTTGATTTACTAAGCAAGCTAAATTCAGATATTGTCAATGGAAACTTCTACGAGTGATCTTGTTTTATAAATATAGTTTGGAACAAAACGCACGAACCAAACTTTTCTGACAAATATAATCACAATACCACGTTGTTATTTGGTGATGTCATTAACATAAGAGATCATTCTGAATTGTAATTCTGACGTAAGATTTGACACAAACGTCACAGACATAGTCAAGTTGGTAATCTTACTCGGCAAATGCAAATGAAAGATATACAAATACAAGTAACGAAAAAAGCATGTTTTTAGTTTTACTAATAATTCATTTATTAATCGCTTTACTGATCATAATTCCCAACTGTGAACTTCAAAGATGCTGCACGGTTTGACAGTTTCTGTGAGTTATTAAAATGGTAGAGTTTTTTTTAAAGCTATGAAGTCCTAAAGTAGGCGTGGCTCTGAAATCGGAATAATGTATAAGCCATATTAACCCGTCATACACGTCTGGTATGTATTTGTGTGCCGAATTCCATTTCTTTTTGTAACATTTTAAATGAATGTGGCCATAATTTCATATTAGACCATTACTAGATTGCACTGGTGGATCTGTTTTAATTATATTATAGTATTGCCTATAAACCCATTGTCTCGCAGCTCAACATGTATAACTCCAGTCGTAAACCTAACAATAACTGTCTTTGTTATAAACACACAAAGGGAACAATATAGTGTAATTCGTGTACTAAAAGTGGCTCTACGCACAACATGAATTCAGCGTAAATGTGGTGTATATTAGGAATGATGTTCGTTTTATTGATTGCGGAATACAAAGACAGGACGAATTGGCGACGATGTTAATGCATATACTCGCCCACGAGTCTTTTTTTAGAAACCAATATGACTGCCAGTAAGGTGCCAACAATAAGATAGTGGCTATTGTAAAATACTACAATTTAAGTTGTCTCGGTAAGCCAGTCTTCTGTTCTGGGGCCTCTCCGCGGTTGTGTCTCAATATGTAGGTTACCATAACTCCGTCGTTTGGCGAATTACACTGCTAGCACATCAACATGTAGCCGCGTTATGGCTGTGTGGGACACTGAAGTATGTTACCTCCTGCATCAGTTAATGACTTGACCTCGCCTTGACCCCAAAGTGATTGGCAGTTTGTGAACCACGCCACATTTTACGACTTTAGTCTTTTATCGTAAATTGTTGTTTCACAATAACAAATCACTTCTGTGGATGAACTAGGGCACCTCTAATCAGCCCAGCCACTATCCGCTTTGCAAGTCGTGCGATAGTCACGTGATCAAGTATTTATAGATTCATTTATATACTGGCAGACGACAGGTAAGTAGACAAATTATGACGCCCAATGCCATGTACCCTAGTCACTCCAGTCATAGAAGTTGTCTATTCACTCTCACTGACACGTTTAGTTGTGAAAGTTTTAATTTTTAATAATTTTGGGCCGTGTCCCCGTTGTTTTGGGACATCGTAGATGGGTATACTGCAAGGCGCGGTATCTCAGTACACAAACAGTTTGGAATGCCGCACTCCCAACATCTCCTACATAAAACACATTATTGTATATGTGGATGTCTAACAACATGCGTTACCGTGACCCCAAATAAACTTGTGTTTATATTGGTACGTTATCCGGTGTAATGCTACTATCATTTTCTATAAAGCTAATACTATGCCGGTTTGTGAATAGGTTCATAGAGTTGTGGTTGAACAAAGTGTCACTTGACCAAAGGTGGTAATGAACTCGAGGATTCATTAATAGCAATCAGCGACCTATAGTTCAACTTTGTTGAGATCTGCTAAAGTAACCGAGTTTTTCGCTATTAATATCCATAAACGAGGTGACACTCAGTTCATCTTGCTTGTTTTTCACAAAGTGACCGATTATATCCGTCACAACATGTAACTGTCAGTGTGTGGGACCATAGAGGTAAAAGACAGACAATGTATTGATTTGCATTGTTCTTTTCAACAGGTGAAGTTTACTGTTCGTACTGACGCCACTTCCCGCCGAAGAAACACCATGTTGAGACATTCACTGAAAATGTACCGGTCTTTGGTGACCAGTGCAGTCCCAAAATCAGTGGAAAGACAGTTTATTAACAATTTCCGTATACTAGCAAGGGCATCGTATTCTACAAATCCTCGCTTTGTTGTCAACGATAGCATACCAACATATACACCGTCGCGTCTAGCTGGGAGACCGTACCTACCGGGTTCGAATACGCCAAACTTCCCGGAATTTCTCGGTAAACCATCGACAGCATTCCCTTTAGTACTGACCCCAGAAGAATCTGACAGTAAAGTTGAGATTGACGATTGGGCGATGGCGAGCAGAAAAGAAATGGATAATTCCCTTGAAAACGCAGGTAAGTTAGGAGTGCCCTACTTAATCATTCTTTTTCCCAGCGATCCTTGCGGACAATACCCCAAAGTCATTGCTACCATACACCGCCATTTTGTCGTGGAACGCCACAAGTCTCACGCGCATTCTCGACGTGTTTTTTCAATAGTAGTTTTTATTAAAAATAATTTTCGTACTTTAGATAGTTTTAAATATGTATTCTAGTAGTTAGTGTAACCATTTTAATTAATTCCGAGAAATGTTAAGTGTTTCAATAAACTGCCATACAGTTCATGTTATTACTAAGTCAGGATTAGACATACCCGTGGTTGCCACGTAAACCTTGTAAAATTATGTATACGCATCTATACAACGAGATTTTGCACAATTTACGACATATACACACGAGCGAAGTAAAAGCGTCTCTGCTGACATAGTTAAAAATAAATACAGAAAACGATTAGTACGGTAGCCAGCACGACTGCGTTTTGAGGGTCGCAACACTTCCGGGTTTATGAGCGTGCCATTGCAGATGGTGATATTTGTTTTGGCATCGTTTCCGTAATTCTGAAAAAAAAAATCGTGCGTCTCTGTTGAACTCCAAAGACCCAAGGGTTACGTTCTATGTCTGTAACGTACAATATATATATTTTGGCAGACTAAGTTGACAGCAGGATTTATCAACACTGTGTGTTATTCGCGTTTGGGGCCTAACTTGTAAATGTGATAGGTATTTTTGATGTTTCGAAACCTTTTACTTAGATAATCGGGATTCGGATGTTCTCCACGTTGGACTCACAAAAAACACACAGAAGCTCAATTCGTGTCACCTTCGATTCTCTGACGGCTTCGTGGACCCTCTTCGAGACAACTTCAAATCATTTTATTAACTTATCAACCATTAGCCAATTACAATAGAGTATAAGAGACTTTGAGGCGTTGCCTCCAAACGACCAGCCAATCACACGAAAGTTTTACATATCATAACACAATTAATTAATCGTCACTATATTAGGAAAATCACTATCATAGTGTCAACGTCAGTTTATATTTATGTGCGCTAATGGTCTTGCAATAACATTCCACAGTTGACATCAATATACATCATTAGTTCTGGACTAAGACCAAGATACTGCATAAGCTTGAAATCACAAGCTCATGAGAACGTGTCGACGGATCTCAACCAGTCCTGCCATCTGGCCTCATTATTTAACCTTTATCAGTAGATGTCATGGCAACCACCATTAAGCAGAAATATAGTCATAACATAAACATGAAAAACCGTGGTATACGGTGTATTTTATCACGGCTTGCATATTTGAAAATACATTCTCAACCAATCAGAATGACGTATTCGGGAAATTGAAATGTTGTATAATATAATATCAAATTTTATGAATATTATATTAAAACAAGTCACGATGCAAAATATGAGCGAAATTATTTTTGTCTTCACCATTAAACGTAGCAGCAGCTCACTGCATATTTTATATGATAGGTTTCGCATAAAAATAATGTACATGTAAATGTAAATAAATTTTAATATGTTTATTACTGGAAATCAGTGAAAATAAAACAAATATTTGTTTCTAACCGTGCGCTGTCCATCGAAACGCTAGGTTCTGATCGATCGGTACCACGTGCAGTTCTGCTATCAGACGATAACAGTATATGTTTTTGCATGTCGTTTGTTCGTAAATGTTCTACGTATATGCGTAAATAAAACGATAAAGACATTTCGTTTACGACATGGTGAAATTCTTTCGTTTTTTTGGAAATAAATAGGAAAACATCTGATTTTGATAATTCCGAAATATAATATGACTATTCTATAACGAAATACTAGTATATTATATATGGAACCCAATAACAATTCTCATAATTACCGATTACATGTAAGTAATTAAGAAAAAACACACACATAATTTGTTATATTTTTCCAATTTGGAATTGAAAGTATATGACAGAAAGAAGTTTAATGAAATTACAAAACATGTATTGTGTCCAACAACTCATTTTTAAACATTAACTTTAATAAATGTAATTTTACTTGATAAAAATACTGTTTTTTTCACAAAACAGCAAAATTCCACATTGTCCAGACATCATATTTGGTAGTTCTATTATAATTCCCTCAACTTAGTTTCCGATAAATGTTGTGTTTTCGAGACACAACCGTATTCGTTAAATAAAAAAAATCATAACCAATAAATACGCATTGGATTGATTTTTGTAGTACGTCACCAAAACAACCAGTGCGCATGTGTATTACAAAATTATAATGTTTCATCAAACCAATACTATGATGCATGCAACAAGAACAGTGTTTTCAGTTCATTACAAATCACAGTACAGTGTATTTATCAATATACAACAATATTAGTAGTTTCCGTTATAATTCCCTCAATTTAGCTTACTTTGTAAAATTAATTATTCATTCAAACAATCTCACTACCTTTCCCTGAAATACAAATTAAGTATAAATTAGTTCGTGATACATACAGTTTCGCATAATTAGACAGCAAATTCAAAATTATCACTTTTATGACCCACTGGCCATTTATGAACAGCGCTGATATATAAAACTAGACACAATAAAACATACCTTATTAACCTACTGAACACTGTTTTATGCAATTTTATACATTATTAAATCACTTTATTTATGTTACATTGTCAACTTCATGAAGTATGAAATACAGCATTATTTTCAATCAAAAATGTAATGAAAAATCGAAATTCTACCTCCGTGTCAACTTGTTGATATAAAAAATAGAATACAACATTCAAATAAAATAGTAAGCATAAAACTTATTAATCTGCCTCAACCAATTCGTGTCCTTTGTGTTGAAATAGAATTTAAAATAATATGCTCCCAATTATACTAGTTTTACAACAGTTCTTAAAGAGAATAGTCCCATGTGTTCTCCTGTTACAAGGTGTCAAACGAGGTATTCGCCACGAAATTACTTTCAGGACTCGAGTTGCTTACAATTCAATTTCAGTTTTTTGTGTGCAGCTGAGTGATTGTCAATGCATACACATGTGTAATAATGTTGCACAGCTCATACTCGAAAAATACATATATTTTGTTGACCAATCATGGACAAGTTCATAAATTATATAATGTCTTTGCTAATATATATTAATGTGATTACATTTTTATTCATTTAGTAACCGCAATAAAAATATAATTTCATTTGTATTTGTTCTTCATAGTATAGTTATAATCTTTGTTTTGAAGGTGCTATTCTCTTTCGAGGGCTTCCTTTGACCTGTGCGGACGATTTCAGCAAGTTTGTCGATCACCTAGGGTTTCAGAGTCTGAAATACAGGGGCGGGGCTGGAAGAAGACATCAAGTAGCTGATTACGTCATGACAGCCAGTAACGAACCAAGAGAATTTACGATAGATTTGCATACTGAAATGTCAAATTTAGGATATTGGCCTTCTAAGGTGAGTCTGGTTATACATTGTGTTATACTTTGTAGTCCATTTTGTATATGTTTCCTTATTTATATAAAGCTTATTTAAATAATTTATTAGAATTAATTGTATTCCAACTAATATAATCGCTAAAAAATCCAGTAGGCGCACGTATCACGAGTCAAGTAGAAGGGGTTTGAAGCGGGAGGGTCGTCACCTGCGCACGCGCGGGAATTGAGTCCCAAGCGACGATAACAACACAAGCTAAAAACGCAAAGGCTCATAGGTAGACGCTTGTTTGTTAACATCGACACGCTATGGTCATCTGACGCATGCGCAGGTAACGACTCCCCCGCTTTAAACTAACACTAGCATGCATGACTTTATGTGTGTTCAAAAATTCAAATATAAAAATGATGTAACTTACATTTTAGCTACTTTTCTTCTGTGAACGTGCCCCAGAACCGAACAACGGAGGTGAAACGCCATTTGCTAAAATGGATAGTGTGTTGAAAAATCTGGACCCAGCTTTGTTGGAAAAATTACAACGTAAAGGTGTTCGTTACTATAGAAACCTATGTGACAAATCTGTTAGCTCATATCAGTCATGGCAGCATATAATGATGACGTCAGACAGAAAAGAAGTTGAAGCATTCTGCGTTGAACAAGGTAATGTCGATATCTTAAATGTATATGATATAATTCACAAACGTCATAAATAAGCAAAAAGAATATATATTTTCCATTCCAAATCTATTGATTAAGTGTAATAGTTTGTAATTAGCTATACCAAGAATTGCTGATAATAAACATCCACTAGTCTAAGATTGAATATGTTTTAAGTTATGTTTGCGAGTACAACAATATATCAACCGTGGGTACTTGAGTGTATCAAGCTTGTGGGGTGTCTGATTTTTCTTTGAATGCAAGTATATCTCCACCTTGAGCACTTGAGTTTAGCAAGATTGTGGAGGGTCAGTTTTCTCTACAGCAATTATACACTGTCCATCACAATCACAGAAATTGTTTTAAAATGTCAAAAATAATTATTGTCTTATTGT